TCTATCATGAGTCTGATAGTAAGTTTACCTGCGGATTTCATGATAAAAAGACTCAGTTTTACAGGAAATTTATTCTTAGACTGAAAATGATAGTAATAGTATTAAAACTCTTAGTGATGTATCTTTTTAGAACATGAATTTCATTTGTCTTTTTTCTGAAGATTATTATTTCCTGAATCTTTCCGTTGCCTCTTAAAGTCATAAAAAATTCAACATTGTGACAATGTTTACAAGAAGAACATGAAGGGCAAATTGAATCGTAATTGAAAATATCTATCGACAGGTAACTATTTCCTTTGGTAAGAACAAAAATGTTTCCTTTACCATTTGGAATTAAATTGATTATCATATTCACCATGTTATTTCCCTAATCATTGAGAATTCAGGATTCAATTGACTGGAATGGGCTGGAAAAAATCATGATTAAAATTTGGAAGAGACGACTCGTTCTGACAGAAAAAGTTCCAAAAGAAAATGTTCTAATCCGGAGTGAATTTTGAAACAAGAGAGAGAGAGAGAACGAGAAAAATATCAACAGATCAACATATCTCTTTGATATCCATCAATTGTATAAGGGGTGATCACTAAAACCGACTGAACTTTTCTTTAATATCTTTTCAACCATTTATTGAATGATATTTTTTTCGTTTTAATAAAATTAGATTGATTTAGTATTTATATCGAGTCACCTTTAAGTTCCGACTTTCTGTTGTCTAAAATACGCAGAAATCAGGACCACCAATTTCATCTTGTCAAAGCTGGTTTTAGTTTTCACGTTAATTGAGGTCATTTTCGCGATTTTCGGCTAGTTTTCACTTATTCTAGATGATTGGTCATTTAAACAATATTGTGAAACAAAAGATTTATTTGACAAATTAATTAATTAGACGAATTATGAATTAAATTAAAAACAAAATTTCGTATTTTGCGCATGAACAGTGAAATTTAATGGACTTTCTTAAATTTATCTTTTGTGACCTTATCTGAGGTCACAGAAAAGTGTCCATAGTCTCATTAGAAAGCTGAATAGCTGTACATTAGTTTTCAGAAATAAAATTATTAAAAAAATTATTCCCTCCCAAATGACGCCACTATAAAATATATGTATTTAAGCCTATGGATATACAATTTACAACTTTTTTTCGAGGGCTATTCAGTTTTGCGGGCAGGACTTTTTTAATAAAAATGTGACCCTAATCAAATTAATTTGTCTAATTGTTTGATGCTTTGCCTTTAATTTGGTGTGCTTTAAAAATCTGTACTATCAGTAAATGTGATGATATTAGCGATCAAAGCTAGTCCGGTTTTTTAGTGATCACACCTTACAACCCTGAGGCTATATAATAGTTTCTGAACAATTTCCATGTGCAATCTCACAGCAACAAGAGAAAGAAATTCATCAATTTTCAAGGTGATACTTTTATTCAACTAATAATCATCACCATTGGAATAGTTTCAATGATTTTTCATTTGAGCAACTAATTCATCATGGTGATCTACAATCAGTCACTCTAAGGGTCATCATTTGTTTGAGATCTTTGTATTCAACTCTTTACAATGAGATCGGTTGATTTCATTGGTTTAACCCACTTGATTCAATGAATATTCCTTGTGTTTGCAATTTTCTCCATGTAAAATGTAAATCATCCTGAGAGATTCAGTTGACATGGTATTACACTGAATTGATATTGTAACAATTTTGTTTCTTTTTCAATCTTTTTCCCTTCCTTGAAGATTACATTCAGTCCAAAGTTATCATGTTATTGTTTCAAGTGATTGTTCATATTCACAGAGCTATTATATAATCAACTTTCCAAATATATACAAGTAATCATGGTGCTGATAGATACTTGAGCTGGAATTGAATTGGAGCTGAAACTTGAGCTTCAATTGTCTGACATTTTTTTTCTGGCTTTACATGATTCACAAAAGTATGAGAGTAAAAAAAAATGCTGACTAATATCATTTGTTATACAATTTTCATGGTAATCTTACCACAGGTAAACTAATTCTGGTTCATGGGATTGGAGTTTAATAATAATAATAATAAAATAATAATAAAACAGGCACTCAGAATATTGAAACTGTTTTCTCTCGATTTTTTTTTCTCGTCTTCTTGTTATTGTTGAGCATTTGGTGTACACGTAATTACAGATAGAGAGAGAGAGAGAAAAAATATAACACTGGAAACTTTATTTATCTCTGAAGATTTAAGCAAAATCATGAATTCAATGATTACTTCTGACTCAGAGATTCTGTTCCATTCTTGATTATGCTTAATTGTAATGGGAATAGGACAATTGAAGTACTATTGTTAAGCTCGTAGTTGATCATTTGTATTTGACAAGTTCTTGTTAACTGTAATCATCATAATTTTTCAGACAACACAAATTGCAATTATCATGATAGAAACTGAACATTACATGAACTCCAAAGATAATATAACAGAACAAAGCTCATGTTAATATTACATACATATACATATATGTATTATAACTTTCCCTGTATGATCATAGATATTTCGAAATTTCTATGTGTGTGTATTTTTCATGCCCGGAAGCCATTTGAAATGACGAATGAAGATGATGAAAACAATAATAATGACGACAATGGTGATGATAGTATTGATGAGGATTAAATTGTAGCCAATTGATGAAAATAAAAAGTAAAACGTTGAGTTGAAACATTGGAAACACGATTGAAACTTTTCTTTCTCTAACTTCGTTCATGATGGAAACCATGAAATAACAAGATAAATGACATTGAAGAAAATGATGATTATTATCATCGTCATGATAGAGTTGATGATGTTTATAATGATGATGAGAAAACAATGAGTCAACATTTTGAGTCAACATGTTTCTCTCTCTCTCTCTCTCTCTGTTTAACCTTAACAAGAATTGGATTTATCTTCGTAATCATAGAGTAACAAGTAATGTTGCCAATAACCATCATCTTCATCTTTATCTTCATCCATATCATCAGTAATAAATATCTTATATTTCTTAAAGTTGATTCCACGTGAGCTTACATGATGGTTCTGGATTCGAATGAGACTAAAAATTACAAAAGTAGTTGAAGATAAACTTTAGGTGATAACTGAAACAATTTCATAGGGATTGAATCGTTTCATGGTATCATGACAATTTCATGAGGTATTAATAATGAATATACAGTGAGAAGGAAAATTGGTAACAACATGAGACGACATTGTCTGAATATCAATGTTAAACTCTGAAAGACTGAAGAAACTTATCAGAATCTTTTGTTTCTTCACCTTGATTCGGTTGGAATATTTTATCTATTGAGTTCACAACTTTATTTCATCGACGCATATTCAACTTGCTATATTATATAAGTAATTGGATCGCATTGTTATCATTTTATTTCATTCAAGTCATGAATTAAGATATGAAATGAAAATAATCTAATCAACATCAAAGGTGACAACATGGTGATGATCATTTCAGGAGTTATATTATAATAATGAGTTCACCTTGAGAATGGAATCATTATGAAATTTTAACTCTTTTAGAACTTCATGAAAATGGTAAACAAATTCCCGAGAAGAATTTTTTGTTTTTCCAAAATTTTTCAATAATAAAGCTCAACTTTTTCTTTTCTTTCTTCCAAATTTGTACATTTCAAGTTCTCTCACGGTGATGATAAAATCGATAGAAATAAATTTCCTTCTGACCATTAGGTAGTTTTAAAATACTACAAAAAATCGATCCCATTAGAACTTTTCTTCTTCTTTTTGATTGTGTGTCTGCAGAATGTTCTGTCAGAATTTTCAAAGCCAATTGATTTAACCAATTCGATTCCTGATCCACCTTTTTAAAATAATTTTAGAACATAATTCTAAACTAATGTTTTCTAAAGATAATTCTCCCTTGATGGGTTAAAATTCATAAATTATCAAGAAAATAAAAGTTCGAATAGTGAAAACTTTTCTTCCTATTAATGCACTCACCTTCATTATACTCTTTCACAATTGATAATTGAGGAAGTAATAAACGAAAGAAAAAAGTTAGAACAAAAAAAAATCGTTCATCTCATCGTAAAGAGCAAAGTTGAACTGAAGTTATAAAATTGAAATGGAAAAATTTGGTGAACTTTTATACTTTCACCTTTCGTTGTCAAAAAGCAACAAAATATTTTTCTCAGCTCACTTATCAATAATAGAGTTACATTTTAATAACTGATGATTACCTACTCTTTCGGTTATCCACAGGGCATTTCACCAAGTTTTGGCTAAATTCTTGTGTTCAAATCGAGTAATCAAATAATCTTGAAATCTTATACTAAAAGAACAACCAAAATAACCTTGAGATCGTAATATGACAATCGGGTATCACTCAAACTCGAGTCTGGGTGCTAAATACTTAAAGAAAAAAAGTTTTTATTCAAACCTGTAACTTGGTGAGTTTCTTTGTAGTTGCCAAGAAATCCAGAGAAAACTCGGTAAAATATCTTTAGAATTAAATCCTTATCGCTGATAAAAATCACAAAAGAAATTAAAATGATTGATTTGCCATGAGAATCAGAATGAAAACTTTTTCTCATCCATTTTAAGGTTCATTTATATGTCATGATAGTCTTTACATGAGCATATACATCTTTGAGCTAATTACTTTAATTACTTTTTCATTGATTAAATCATAGCAATTAATGGTTACCCCTAGTTGGTTATGAATATACAATCATAATTATCTAATTGATAAGATTGATTATAGACACGTTATTAAATTTTTGAACATTGATCACGAACCATGAGTACAATTGGTTGAACTTATTCACTTGGTAAAGATTATAATCATCTAGTTAATTTGTTCAAATGAATATTATTAATAATTAACCTGGTTATCGAATATTATCATTTCTAAGAAAAGAATGAATTCAAATATCGTCATTGGTTAACGGTCCCCAGAATTCTGTATTTTTACGCCATCTCATGGATAGAACTTGAAGTTACTTGGAATCCCATGTTGTCTAGTAATCATATGTTTCCAAATTTGTTCAGTTATTTCAATTGTTTCTTCAATAATATGGATAAACTTCATCCAAATACTTTGAAAATCATTGAAATTATGTATGTTTGATACTCAAACAACTGTGAAAATCATTCACTTTTTCACCTTTATACTTTTCGAGTCACTCCAGAATTCTGGTAAATATCATAACATTCACTGTGAATACTTTCCACCCCCTGGAATCTGAGGTATATATTTAGAGTATTTTCCTATTTTTCCAAACTAACAAAAAAAATCATGGAGATTTTTTTGTTCTCTCCTTTTTTTGCTCTGCTGTTCTAATTTTTTCTCGTCAATATTATCGTAAAGTTTTACTTATTATCGCCTTGATTATTGTCAATTCTTTTCAAAGTCAATTTAACAATTGATTTCGCTTATAAATTGAGCAGGAAAAGGAAAAAAATGAAATGTTGAGAGCTCAAACTAATCAGATTACTTAAATTACTTTATTCATATGCAGATGAGATTAACTTTTCAGTTATCAGCTTTACTTTTCTGTGGGAATAATCATGAAGAAAACTGAGAAAAAAGTTGATAAGATGATTTCTCAAATGATTCAAGTTCATTCCTTTCATTATCAACTTATCAAAAACTCAGAATTATTAATAATTTCCTTTGATTCTTCATTGATGATTAACTTTTTATCAATTTTTTCACTTTACAATGAAAAGTAAATCAAAATCCATTCCTTATTCTGATTCACTCCCAGTTGACAATAAGAGTAAATCTGAATATCAGATAAACCTCGATACTCATCAAGGTTGCATGGGGTGAAAATCAATCAATTCAAGGATTAATATGAATATAATATTGGAAAGCTCATGATGATTCGGAATTTATTTAGAAATTGTATTGAGTTATAATCACTTTATTAGAATATTTCATTCAGAATTTGATTCTCTTCATGAATTAAAAATGATTCTGTCAAATAAATTAGAAGAAAAAATTCTCGGATCACTGAAAATTCCCTCGTTTTTTACAAATACGAGTTTTCCTTACTTCTCCTCTCAAAGGTAATATATTATTCACCAGAAATTTAATACTATCGTCACAATTAGAAAAAGTAGTTACATTTTTTCTCTGATCATGATAAAATTTTCATCATGATACTAATCTAAAAATTTCGATTTATTATTGATAATTTAAGGCATTTTTCCATTTTCATCTACCTTTATCCCAAATAGATATTCATGATGATAATATTTCATTCATTTTCTCGCTGCTAAAATATATCACTTTAAATATGATCTTAAAATATTGATATTTTCCTCAGATGATTCTGGAATGATCATCAATATCATATTCCCTGTTCACCGATTACTAGTCGGCTTGATATTCTTAGGTGAATGTCATGGTAATCATAACTTTTTCATGGACAATTAATCTATAAGTCTTTTAATAGATAGTAATTTTTCAAAAGTTCATCAGTCTATTCATTTTCATAATAACCATTCAATTCTTTCAATTATATTAGATTATATTCTGATATCCATTCCAAATAAAAGATCACAAGGAAACATTATTCGAATCAATATTCTACTTTAAAAGTGAAATCTTTATAATGTAAGAAAAGAAAAAGAATAAAGAAATTCCAATAAACCTGAACATCTACAGGTAGAAATTGATGTAAAGAAAACATTTAAATTTAGTCAATATAATCGATAATAAAACCGATAGTTTGATTAAAAAAATTAAGGTCAATATCTGGTGATTGAATTTAAACTAATTGTAGGATTAGATTACGGAAAATTTAATCAAATTTTAAGATTTAACCTCAAACTTTGATTGGGTTAAGATTTTTAACACCCTAAGAATATGAGTTTTAATCTTTACAATGGAAAATAATATTTATTAGCTTAATAGTTTGTATTAGCTCACTATTTTTTACCATCTAAGGCCTGATAATCTGATTAGCTGTTGTTTGATTTTCTAACTAATTATCAATTTTTCATAACTAATTGGTAACAGTGTCACTCATTCATTACTTATTTCAATCAATATCTTCAGAATTAGGTAAACATTGGATAATCAGATCAACAGAATTAGACTGAACCATTTAATTGGCAAGATTATCGATATTGTATTAGTATACAAGAAAAGAGAAAAGCTTCATGTTATTAGATATAAGAACTATGAAATCGGTACTTTAAACGAAATCAGGGAAAGTATATGGATTTCCTGTTCTCTTTGAGCTCAAGCTATATGAAAGAGCTACATATGAGTTTCACATGGATTTCAGATTCTAACCTGAGCCCACTGTTGAGCTGAATTTGTAAATGAACAAGATATGCAGAACTCATTTGAATAAATCTTAAGACTTGGATTTTCAGCTTCATGGTAATAATTTATATTTATGATTCATCTTAGTTTTAATCAAGTGTTGCTTTCAAATGAACAATACAAATCTCATGCTATTAAAATGTGGTTCGTGGTGAAAATAAAAAGTTTGTTATGGTGATTCAAATCATATTGGTTTCCATCTTTATCCTAAGGCTATTTAGATAACTTTTTTTAGTATAAGTATCATGCAAGGTGAATGTAAATATATTACAATAAGTAACAGATATTATGATGAACTTTTATTATTCCATTCAATTTGATTAATATTCTGAACTATTAGATTATCATATATATTCATTGGGAATTAGTATGATACAGGTTTTGGTTAGAATTCAATTTGAATTATCTGTTTCAATCATGTGAATATCAATTATCTTCGTCCTGTATTATGCAATTTGATGCAAATTGTATTCAAGTTTACAGATTTATCAATCATCTTGTATACCACTGACTCCTTATCAATCATCTTTATCTTCACCTTTCTTTATCTTTCTTTCTCCTGACATGATGATATAATATCCAGAGTAACTTCAGATATTTTCGCTGAATATTGTTGATGAAAACATCATGGAACCAGGACCGAGTGAAGATCAACCCAAGCGAAAACTGATTCGAGCCAATTTAAGCCTAAAGTTATCAACGAGTTTGGATGATGAGGATGAAACTCGAGTCTCTGGATCACAATCAACAGAAAAATTGGAAGATCCCTTTTCCGAGCTTGAAGATGATGATGATGATGAAATAAAGGATAACCAAAGGAGGGAAGAAGATGATAGAGATTCTGATGATAGTGTTACCGCAGAAGCTGATGGAGATGATGAAGATGATGATGCAAAGAATCAGCAATATGAATCTTATATTAGATCAATGGAACCTGAATATGATAATTATGATACTGACGATAATGATGATTATGAGGATAAAGGTGAAACTAATCAGCTGAAAGATGAGCAACCAGATGCCAAGCTAAATGCTACTCCAATGGTTAAATTTTCTGATCGATTACGTGAGTAAATTGAATTAATTTTTATTCCAATTAATTGATCGTTACCAAAATCAATATGTTTATGTTGATACTTGAAGATAATGAAAAATGAACCGGAATAGGAAATGATAAGATTTAACTTTCATCAGCATAATCTTGTTTTCCCTCATTAGGTAATCAGTTGATTGTTTAGATTATATTCTCTCTCTCTCTCTCTCTCTCTCTCTCTCTCTCTCTCTATTTGATTATTATTATCATTTTACTGATGGTGATTGTTGTTTATTCAGTTACTTTGCCACTCAAGCTTAAAAGTGCTAATCCAATTAAGCCTCAAGCAATTTATTTACAATTTGGGATCTAATTCATTAACAGTAAAGGGATTTTCATCTTAATATCGTAACATTTTGAAATTAAGTTTATTGAAGCATTTTTAATGATAATAACATGGTGATAGCTGTTTATCCTCTTTGATTTGTTTGCAGTGATTAATTATCCTGATTAGCATCGATTGTTAATTGTTTAGATTTACGGATAAGATATAAACTCTACTATGGATTAGACTAGAAAACTTTCACATGACAATTGAAGTTGAACAAATTAAGCTAATCAATTCTTAATGATGTAAACAATTCAATTCTCTTTCTAGTAAACTTTAGTTAACTACATGATTATATGATTACAATTAGCATGGGTGATTTGTCGGTCGATTGTTGTTTCAACAGAATTTAATCTTTTCCGATTTAATATTATTTGGGATTTTCTTGATTCGAATTATCTTCAAACTTTACCATTTCGAATCTCCAATCATATTGATTGTTTGGATTAACCAAAATGCGAAAAAAATTCACTATCTCATTGATTTTTCCACCCTCTCCTACTCATTCAATCTTAATTGATAGTTAACTGAATGTTAGTGATTATTGTTAACTCCCTATCCCTTAAATGAGCTTATGATCAATGAACATTATTGTTTATAATCTAATGTTATGTGTTAGCAATAGCGAAACATATTGACTATCTTAATGAAATGATTACATTGATTTCTCATGATGATGATGATGATGAGAAAAGAATCTAATTTACCTTTTCAAAAGTAACTCAATAAGTTACCATGATAATTACTATTATCATGTGAATGCTTTCCAAAGTGATTTCCTGATTCTGATATCAGATTAATCAGCTCAGAAAAAAAACAATGAGAATTAGATTCTATTGAAGAAGGTAAAAGTTATCATTATTTAGAATTTTTTTTGTTTGTTTACTAAAGAAAATGTTAAGACAATGTTAATATCAATCAGTATGAAGATCTTATCTGTAAAATATTTGATTTCAATAAGAAGATGATGAAATAATAGTAAGATTGATGCTCTTAAACTAACATTTACTCTACTCATTTAATCTGTCAAATGGGTCAACATTTTCGTATTTATACTTAAAGATCATAACATTATACACCTTTGAAAGTTTCGAAATCATCAAAAGTCAATTGAAACTGATCAATGAATAATGTGTTAAGAGAGAGAGAGAGAGAGAGAGAGAGAGAGTGAGAGAGAGAGACTCAATTACATGGGAAGATGAGAATATATCAGAGAATTGGATTAGATCAGGTAAGGTGGAAGGTGTAAAGTGGGAAATGAGCTTAAAAAAGGAGACAAAAGGTGAATAGCAAGAGAAGAAAAAAAATAAGAGGATCAACATGATGAGAAAAAGATTCATGGATTCAGAATAATAATATTAATAATAATATTCACTTGATATTAGATTTGTTTCATCTATTTTCATATAGACTGTCAATCACAATTTGATGTCAAATATACTGTCGCAAGTAATTATCATATGATAATATCATTACCGTTATCTTTGATTTATATTTGTATTATGATTATAATCATATATGGTTATTATACAGGGCGTAACAACCAAATATCCCTACTTTTGGCTCCTTATTGCTTGTAGGCCATTTTTCGGGTTGGATTTTTTTCTTCGCGGTTCTACAGAGAAAATGTGAAAGTTTTGTTACGTTTTTGTTTGAAACTTTTCCGTGGAGCCGTTGATGATCAGTGGCCTCCCAAAGTCGGAAAAGTGGTACATTTCGATGCGAAAATTTTTTCTGAAAACTTTTTCCGGCCATTTAAAAGTGCAAAATTTTGCGGACAAACTGAGCTAATCAGCTTTTTGATCTGACTTTCCGTTCAGAAACAATCGAGCGGCAAAGTTAGGGATTAATCCCTATGCCTTTCATAGGAAATTTTTGGACTTTTTTTGATTGTCTTGAAATTAAGTCCTACTAAATAGCCGATGCCAAAAATGGTTTTGAAACCAAAAGAACCTCTCTCGTTAGTCATTAAATAAGTTTATCATGGGGTTAATTTATCGTCCGAATGCGAACAATAAGCATTAATTCCAGACCAATGAATGTATGCCAATGAATTTTTTTAACTTCAAAACCATTTTTGGCATCGGCTATTTAGTAGGACTTAATTTCAAGACAATCAAAAAAAGTCCAAAAATTTCCTATGAAAGGCATAGGGATTAATCCCTAACTTTGCCGCTCGATTGTTTCTGAACGGAAAGTCAGATCAAAAAGCTGATTAGCTCAGTTTGTCCGCAAAATTTTGCACTTTTAAATGGCCGGAAAAAGTTTTCAGAAAAAATTTTCGCATCGAAATGTACCACTTTTCCGACTTTGGGAGGCCACTGATCATCAACGGCTCCACGGAAAAGTTTCAAACAAAAACGTAACAAAACTTTCACATTTTCTCTGTAGAACCGCGAAGAAAAAAATCCAACCCGAAAAATGGCCTACAAGCAATAAGGAGCCAAAAGTAGGGATATTTGGTTGTTACGCCCTGTATAAGGTCACACTGGTGAACTTTATTAATATTTATCATTATATAATAATTATAATGAAAATATTTATCTTTCCTTTGAAAGTTAATCATGATGAATTGACTTCAATTTGTATTTAGATTTACTCAATGAAATTATTAGTAGATAAGTTTACTTATAGCGTATTAGTAATTATCACTTTTTCAAGTGTAATGATAATCTTAAGGGAATTTACAATTGATTGAATCAACAATCAAATTTTATTATATTTTTGTTGTGTTATAGTATTAGTACAATAATACTTATATCTTATACTTTAGATAATTAAATTTAATTGTTGTTATGAGTTTAACTTGCACCAAGTTAAATTAGATTTTTGCTTTGATGGTTGCATTTAATTTTGTTTCCCAAACAATTAATCTGATAACATTTACATGTATGAATATATTAAAAGATTATAATTGTTATGATTCTAATGATTACTATCATTATGTTTCCAAGTTGCGTTTTTCCTTTGATAGTTTGTTGATGGAAACGAAGTAAAAAAAAGTTCTAATTCATTGGTTCGATTCAAATTTCTCTTTGTTCTTGCATCAAGTTCAATCATCTATTAATATCATGTTGTGATCTGAATAAGATGCTATCCTCCATCTTCATGAGTTTATCTGTTTTTCAGAAAACTTTTTCTTTCGAAAAAAACTCGAAAATTGAAAAAAACTTATTTACTTTTAACTTTCTCTCTCTCTCTCTCATTTCTTTTTCCATGTTTATCTCGAAATCCAAGTTCCAACTCTAACAAATTACTCAGGTGATTCTTTTGAATAAAACTATGACCATGATAACATTAAAATACTGAAGTGAAATCAATGTTTGAATTGAAGGGTAGCTCAAGTTCTACCTTAAGGTTGAATCCCTTGGAATCCTTTCACATTTAATTTTCATTAATTTTCATTTTTCTTTTCTTATTTAAAACAATTAACATTTTGATGTAATAACTTGAGTTAATTTAATTAATCACTTTTACCAATTACTCATGTTAACCAAACAAAAGAAAAGACAACAGACTATAGTCTCTAATTTCTGTTAACCTTATGGTTTATCCTTATATGGTAAAGCCTTTTGGCTCCTTCTCTATTCTTCACTCACGTGATTACCAAGAGTGGGTAATATTAGGCGCCAAAGTAAACAAAGGAGACGTTTTCTTTTCTCTTGTTTTTCCCCTTTTTCTTTATGTTACCCTTGGATACTGGATAAGCTTAAGCTTAATCTTTATCTCCCTTTCATATATACAAAAATTACTTTAGTAAGAGGAGTTAAGATTTAGATCTTATTGAAACAAGATTAATTTTCCACTTTTGTGAATCTTTTTTAATTGTCTAAGTTTTAAAACTCAAATGTTAAAGAAAATTACCATTCTTATTTGTGTTTATCTCTCTTACATTTACTTAGTTTACCTTTTCTTATTAAAGTTAATAAACATTATTAAGTTCAACGGAAGTGATTAAATCGATTCTTAAAGTGTTCAATTGGGATCCTGTATACGAATCTTATTGACTTGATAGTGAGGGCAAGTCGGAATCTCCATTGAAAATTACACCTAAAGCTTTAGCTTAAAGAAGTTTATTCCATTCGGATATCACTTGAGTGTATTCTTAAAATTGTGGTGATAACCATTTCAGATTAACTTTAGTTGATCATCATTTTTACCTTTCGGTAGTAATTTAATTTTACTTTTCCCTTCACTTGGCGAGGATACCAGGATTCCAATTGAACTCTATCGATTATCTTCATTTCTTAAGAACAATTTTTGTGTTTCAATTTTAACAAACTCTTTTAATGGTTGCAACAACTCGTTCTACTGTGAGATCGTCTTCTGTTGAAACTCCATATCGTAAGAGAAGTTATAAACCTCGATCAAGAACTGTTCATCCACCATTACCTTTAGAATCATCTCCAGATTTAATTCTAAATCAATCTTCAATTCCGTGCACTACCGTTACCATGGCAAGTATTGGTCAATTAGATTCTCAAGAACTAAAAGATCTTCTCGTACAATTCAATTGTGTTGTACCACCGACAAGCTTCTTAAAGAGAAGAGTTTGTGATGTCATTAAGACAAATTTCATGGTACTTGGTATTGATTTAAACGAAAATGAAATTGAAGCTTTATCACTTGATGAAGTAAAAGGGAT